TTTCTCAGTACACAGTGCCAAGCCTCATCAGCGCTAAAGGGGGGAGACGAATTAGTCTGGGCTCTGCCGCTTTCCTTAAGTTTAGCAAGGCTTCGCCGGCGCACCGAGTTAATAGGGCCTATTCAAGGCGCGCTTGCGGGCCGGGCGTGGAGTGGCCGCGAGTGGTTTATGTGTAATACGGCTATGCCCCTTCGCATTTCTCTCTATTCGCTTTTTATTTCTTCCACGTCAGCCTTGGGCAAAGGTGGAATTTTTTTTTAAATTTCTTTTTATTTTTTAAAATTTTTATATGGGCAAATCGATGCAAATAAATCAAACCCAACAAATCGGTGTCTCTTTCTTTTTGTCTTTGTTAGTTCAGAATATATCGAGACGCAAAATTTGATTAGCTTTGAGGGGAGGCATACTTACACGCCTCCCCTCAAAGCCAGTGATATGAGTCGTATAAATGAATGTGACGAGCATGTTGGATGTTGGCCACTTTCGCAAGTATATGCATGTACCCCCTTGCTCTCTAATAAACGGCAGCACCTATATACTTTTCCATTATCACGCAATTTCTCTGGTATTTTTTTCAGCTTGATAATTACCCTGGCTGTTACGTAGGGTGGGTCAGTGAGTTGCGAGCCACAAGCCGGCGGCTAGCGGGGGTCATTACGGCCGAGTTTGCGTACGAATAAAAGCGGTGGTTGGCGTTTTTAGGGGGCGGGGTGCCGTAGGCATCCACCGGCCTCCCGCCGATTTCGCACGCAGCCTCGCTGATAAGCATCTCGTTTGGACGCACGATGCATTATTTCGCTTTGCCAGCCAAACTGACCCCCCTGCCCCCCTTCCCGCAGAAATAAAAGAAATGACAGGCTGCTGCTAATACGTGACAACGTCATTTTACTCTTGACGGCTGGCGTTGGTGCCGAGTGTCGCACTATCTAGTGTGCATTGTTTTGCACACGTTACGCAAACCTACAAGAAATCACGTTGTTATGCGTGAAAAGTTATTGTGCATCAGTATGGCTTCACTAAAATTGCAAGTGTGTGAATGTCGCTCACCTGTAGGTCCGCCCGTATCCTATCCTAGAAATATTATACCTATTTACCCCCCTAAGTGTACGAGTGGATATTCACACACCTTGGTAAGCGATACTGGCACACTTGCATTTCCAGTGTTCTTAAAATGCTGCAAGATAAGTGTTTCGTTGCGTCGACCAAAACTTGTCCGATCAGTCCGGACTAGTCATGGCCATTAAAATTTTAGTCGCAGCAACTAAACTTTTGGCTACAGCAACCAAAATTTCGGTTACAGCAACTAAAACTTTGATGCCTGGTACTAAGCCGGACTGACCGAACAAAATTTGGTCGTGGGTATCAAAATTTTGATGGCTGCAACGAAACATTTATCTCAGTGCACACGTAAACACACACACACACACACACACACACACACACACACACACACACACACAAATACGACGACACACTTACACACACATTTCACTAGGCAGTAGAAATATCGCGCCGCGTCGGCCAAGTTATGTCGTTTCGGGTCTGCGGGTGCTGCTTGCCTGGCATCGCATCGAGCGGGTCGGGGGAAGGCGGGAGACCCCTTGGCTCCCTGGCGGGGCACTGGGGCCCACTGGGGCCCCCTCCAGCCCCGCTCTCTTGCTTCCCCTCAAGAGCTCCGCCCTCCGCCCCACCCTCACCCCGCAAGCTGTCGTGGAAACCGTAGATAATTCAGGCTGCCTCGCGTCAGTCACGCCAGTCGGATAAATACCAACCGCACGCGCGTTTATTAAAGGAATGCGTTTGCGTTTGCATTTTTTAGCCCGCCCTTCTGCTTTGTTTGTGTCTTGAATCATCAAACAAAGTACCATCAACGGTGCACTGAAAACGCAAGTGTGTGAATGTCGCTCACCTGCAGGTGTGTGAATATCCATTCGTACACTTACGGGGTTAAACGTGTGAATTTTCTAGAAAAAATTCACACCTTTTTTCTAGAAAATTCACACGTTTACCCCCGTAAGTGTAATGATGGATATTCACACACTTGCGTTTCCAGTGTGAAATCGATGTGTATATGTGCTCAAAGAAGTGTGCATTTAAAAATGTAAAAGTCTACGTAAGCACGCAGTTATTTCGAAAAATTTTGATAGTTCATTCCTCTAAACATCATACCGTAAAACGAAATGTATTGAACAAGAGAAATGCTGTTGCCATTTTCCTACAAGGTTAAGGAGAAAAATGTTTTAAAAACAATAGCTTTCTGTATCAGTTTTACAAATCTTGCCACTTAGTTTAGGGAGCTGAGCCGAAGACCTTCCTCGACAAAAAACTTAACATTGACTTAAAGCACATCCAAGTGCCTACTAGACAGTTCTTAACTTCTTAACGAATTGACCTATTCAAAGCTACAATACCAATCACTTCTTTTGCCAAATATTACGTAGTTCGAACAGTTAGTTTTTTTCGGCTAATGTTTTTATTCCCACTTTGGCTTTTTGCTACGTATCCCCCGCATTTCTTGTTGCTCTCCTTGGAAACGTCGGTCACGGGCTTGCGCACGGTTGTAATCTGACGTGTGTGTGACTTCCGGCGCACACCACCCTTTGCACCGGTAGGGGCCGGCTGTCATACGGGATTAGCGCCACGCGTGTCGGAGACAGACGGAGAAAGGCGAGAGGGAGAGAGGCAATGCGTTGCCGTGTATATGCTACAAGTTGATGGCGCTGTGCACCGGAGTTTTGCTATTTGCCGTGTTGTGTGGGGCGAATACGTTACCTCGGCGAAACTAATCAGGTCCTGTCGAGGCGTATACACCGGAAGGCGAGGCAGGTTGGATAGAACGGGGATGGGAAGAGGGGGGGG